CCAGTGACCACATTAGATGGTATTCTCCCCATTTTGGAATAACAGGATTATAGTAACAAGAGCTGGACAGGATTTCAGGGAACATTGAGTCCAACCTCCTCATTTGTACTGAGGCCCAGGGGGTTGAAGTGCTCAAGATCCCAGAGATAGTAAACATCAGAGGTGGGATTTGAACCCAGGTCCTCTGACTCCCAAGCCAGGGCACATTCCACTATTTTCAGCGCTCAAGGTATAGTTAATAAATCCTCGAATTTAATTGAACCCAAACAGAAGAAGAAAATACTGAGCATTTGTTCAAAATTCAGAACCTTCAGAGTCATAGAGAACTTATATGAATTCATTCAACAAATACTTGTTAAGCACTTACTATGAAGCTAGTACTATGCTAAGTACCAGAAACACAGAAAAAAAAATATTTCCTTCCCTTAAGGACTTGTACATGACTTAGCAGACCTAGACCAACCCAAATGACTAACCACAATGGCTAGGCTCCATTGACTGACCATCATGAAGACAGGTCCTTGCTCCTGCTCTCACTTGAAATGCTCTGACTAGCTTCAGTGACCATTGGTCTTCCCTTGCTGAACCTAATGTTAAAAATATTGTGTTTATTACTTCCCCAGGCTCTTTTCTAATGCACAACTCTTTATTACTCCCCACTGACTACTGAATAATGTTCTTAGCCTAGATTGAAGGCCCACTACAACCAGGCCCAGCTTCCCTTTCCAGGTTTGACTTCCACCTGTGCCCTACATCCATTCAGTTAATCAGCAAGCATTTATTAAGTGTAGTATATGCCAGATACTGTGCTAAATGCTTAGGAAACAAAGAAAAAGCAACAGTCCCTGCCCACAAGGATCTTACTTTCTGATGGGGGAGAAAACATGTCCATAGATTGGTCTGTATAAGGTATATATATTAGATTGGTCTGTATAAGGTATATATATTAGATAAAATGTAGCCTTATAGAGGAAAAACATTAAGAGTTGTAGGGAACAGAAAAAATAAAGACCAAAGATGCTATTTATTATTGCCTTGATGCACTCCTTCTTTTGCTATGGTAAGATGGTCCTGTTTTTCCCGACTCCTGCCTATGTATCTGTAAGCCACCTACTGAAATTCTTCTTCTTCTTCTTCTTCTTCTTCTTCTTCTTCTTCTTCTTCTTCTTCTTCTTCTTCTTCTTCTTCTTCTTCTTCTTCTTCTTCTTCGTCTTCGTCTTCGTCTTCGTCTTCGTCTTCGTCTTCGTCTTCTTCTGTTTGCTTTTTGCTAGGCAATTGGGGCACCTATTGAAATTATCCCTTCAGGGTCTAGGTTAAATACTATCTCCTTCATGAAGTCTTCCTGATCCATACCATAATACTTGACTTCTCAGTCTCATTCACTTTTCACCTATGTAATTTAATCAAACAAATAACCATTTGTTAGGCATCTGCATGTACAGTCTCTGTAGCATCTGTGGACTGGAGACCAGAAAGATTCTAGGCAGGCAGGGAGACCATCGAGGAGGCTCCTGCAGTAGTCAAAGTGAAGGATTATGAAGGCTAGTAGCTGTGTAATTAGAGAGAAAGGGACAGTTGTGAAAGGTGTGGTGGAGGTAGAAGTGACAAGATACAGTATTTGATTGGATCTGGAGATGAGGGATAGTGTAGGCATTTGGGATGACACCAAAAGTTGTCAGCTTAAGAGACTGGATCAATAGTGGTATCCTCAACAGAGAAGAGGTGAATTTCAGAAGAAGGGTGGGTCTTCAGGGAAAAAGACATTAAGTTTGTTTTGGACATGTTGAGTTTGAGATCCATAAAAGACATCCAGTTTGAAGTGTCCAGTAGGCAACTGATTATGACCAGATAAGAACTCAGGAGAGAGACTAAGGCTGGTCATATAGATTTAGGAGACATCTTCATAGAGATAATCATTAAAACCTGGGGAAATGATGAGGTCACCAATTAAGAGATAGTAGAGAGAAAAGAGGGTCCCAAAAAGAGCCTTGGGATCTACCCATACTTAGGGGAGAGGACATGGATGAAAGATCAATAAAAAAGGCTCACAAGGAAGAATCTGACAAGTAGGAGGAGAACCAGGAGAGAATACAATTTCAAAAAGCCAGAAAGGAGAGCATCCACAGGCAGATGATCAGCAGTGTGACATACTGCAGATAGATCAAGAAGAAGAGGGTTGAGGATGGGCTGTCAGATTTGGTGCCGAGGGATCATTGTAACTCTGGAGAGCCGAATGAGGACTGGAGCCAGATTGAGAAGGGAGTGAAAAGAGAGCATGGGGAGGCGAGATATGGAGGCAGCTCTTTGTAGGTTAGCTGAATAAGAGGCTATGTGGTCTACCAGGCACAATGCTGGACTTGGAGTCAAGAAGGCATTGGCATCCTGCTTCAGCCAGTTGCTAGCTGAATGACCAAGTGCAGGCTACTTAACTTCTCAAGTCTTAGTTTCTTCATCAATAAAATGGGAATAGTAACACTTGCACTTCCTGCCTCAGAGATATTTTGAGGAAAATGCTTTTCAAATCTGAAAGTGCCACATAAATGAGTTGTTATTAATACTGTTGTAGACCACTTCCTGCCAAGTTATCTTTATTCCCTTAGTAGACTAGATGGTGTAAGCACAGAGCCTTACATAGTGAGTACTCAACAAATGTTTACTGAATTGCTGAAAAATGACAGTGGTAGAATTTTACTGTTTAGCATCATTCTTGATCAAACCCCAAATTTCTAAATAAACCGCATGCCTTAAGTAGTTGGCAATTTACAGTCAGAAACCAGGAAATTCAAGTTTGTTGCTTTACATTGGGTAATCATACATGTTAAGAAAGACAAAACAGGCCTCTAACATTCTAATATTCCATTGTCATTTCCTAAATACTTTATTTTAGGTTGTGTTTAGATTGGCTATAAATTTTCAGTTGAACATACATTTTTATTAAGCTTTGTTGCAAGTAAATGCCTTGTGCTGAGACTTTTACAACTTGGCTTGACTCTTATTAAGGTATTGAAATTTCCCCCCTTTTTGTTGAAGATTTCTCCTTGAAGAGTTGACTTATGTAGCAATGTTTTATGAGTTTTTATTATTGGATGAGGAAATGGAATGATTTTTTTTCTTTGAGATTCTCAAATCTTCCATTGCTTAATTAAGAGGCTTTCCTATTAGTACTATTTTAATTAGGCCTCTTTGTATATGGAAGCTAACTATGTAAGAAATCCATTTCACTGTATTTCTGTTTGTTAATGTTCTTCTATCCTGGCTGAGAACTTCCAGGGTCTAACTCTTTATTAGGATGCTTGTGCTTGTTCTGGGCTAGGAAAGCTTCCCACAAGATACAGTGCTATTTTTTAGTGGCTAAAGTTGGCTGAAATTTCTAGGTAAATGCTGAACCATTATGACTAGTCAGTTGTTAAAATAAATATTTCAGAAGAGACCAAGAAGCACTCATAGAACTGGTTGTCATCTGTGCTGTCAGCAACATCAGTTTTTATTTCCCTTAGATCAAATCTTAATCTTTTACCTTTTCTCACTCTAGGTCTTTCTGTAAAATTAACTAAAGGGAACTCTCTGGACAAAGAGGGAAAAATCATATATCTTAGAAATGGACAAAAGAAAAATAGGAGAAGGAAATTATGTTTTTTAGAGATGTGCCTTCCATGTTCTGGACTCTGAGCACTCAATAAATGTGGAGTAGAGCTAGGCTCAGTAGGTGGAAGTTTCCAAAGAAAGAAATTTAAGCTTTCTATAAGTAAAAACTTCCCAGCAGAATTCTTCCAAAGTGGAATGTTCTGTGTGAGGGAGTCGTGGATTCCTTCTCATTTTGATGTCTTCAAGCAAAGGCTAGTTGACCATTTGTCAAGTATTATATAAAGGTGATTCGTAATCAAGTATGAGAATTATATAGATTTGTAGTTGGCATTAAGTCTGCCTCTTTGTGACCCCCTTTGGGGTTTTCTTGGCAAAGATACTGGAGTGGTTTGCCATTTCCTTCTCCACTGGATTAAGGCAAACAAGGGTAAGTGACTTGCCCAGAGTCACACAGCTAGTACATGTCTAAGAATGAATTTTAACTCAGGTCTTTCTGACTGCAGGCCCAGCACTCTATCAATTGCACCACCTTAGTGCCTCAGTTGCATTGGTACATTGCATTTAAATCTTCCATGTACACATATGTACGTATGTGTGTATTTGTGCATATACACATATACATACACTTTATATATTTTATATGTACTTGTTTTCTTCTCTGTTAGAATGTAAACTCATTGCAAGTAGGGATCATTTCATTCTTTGTGCTTGAATCCATAGTGCCTGGCAAATAATAGGTATTAATAAATACTCATTGATTGATTGAGTTGGATTAGATGACCCATAAGGGCCTTTCCACTCAAATTCTGTGATTCTACTACTTAAAAACTAATGCAAAGAAAAATATAACATAAATCTGATCACTAAAGGAAAACCTTTTTGGGCAATGTTCACTTAAAAAAAACAGCAGTAAAAAATGTTTTGCTTTCCAGGTCAATATCTTACATTCATGTTAAGGAAGTTCCAAATAGAATGCTGCTTACCAAATGTTTCTTTAAGCTAGGAAGAACTCCCCTTTGCCTTTCAAAATGATGGGAGAATAACTTCCTCTTCATATTTTATAATATCTGAGTTTATTCATTTGTAGGTATAAGCTGCTTTAAGTAAAAATAATAGAGGGAAAATCCAGATTTCTAAAAGAGAGAAATGAGAAGATGATTATTTTCTTACAGAGAAATTCACAATAGGTTTCCTACCAAGTTCCCTTTCAGATATAGAATTTGCAAAAGGTTAATTTCAGGAATGCATCCATTGTATAAAGCAATCTAAATCTACTTCTGTTTTAAAATATAAATGAATCATAATTTAATATTTGAGTAGCATGATTAAAACGGCATTGTATTTAAAAAAAGTAATTGTTCTTTGTTTCCAAAAATTTACAAGATTTCCTGCTTTCTTTGTTTTTTCCCCAACAGATATAAGCTTACCCAAATCGGCAACAATATGCTACACAGCTGCATTGCTCAAAGCAAGAGCTGTCTCTGACAAGTAAGTGAATCATAACTTCTGCTGAGCTAAGTGCCTGACTGAACTTACAGAGATGGGCTGCTCTGAGCCCTTTTCACCAGAGGCTTCTCTCTTAGTCTATGAGATTGCTGCTTCTGAGCATGCGTTTTCCAATGTCTGCTGATCTTTTCTTTCACTGTTAGCAGAACAGAACGTTACAGAACCCTTGGGCACTGTAAGTGTGTGTGAGTCCCTGAGGAAGGATTTATATACACTTATCAAATGCTGTACCTCCCAAGTGATGGTCACCAGACAATAGATACCAAAAGGCCTGCTTGGGACTTGGATGAAATGCCTTCCTTTATTTCATTTTTTTTTTTTGCTTATCTTCCTCCTTCACCAATCCAAGACAGATAGTGGTTTTGATGAAAACCTGTAGTATGGCAGAGGGCCTGGGGGTCACACATTCTTTGCCTGTTCAATACAAACAGACAAAATAACACCACCACCATCCCTCTCCCTCCCCTATCCCCCCCCCAGCGTCACTTCATTTTGACATCTAGTGTCCCTGGTGGTGTTTGCTCATGTTATTCAGGCAGGTGGGTGTGGCACAGTCGTTCTACTAAATAGTCAAGGATGACTGGCAGGTGAAAGAAAATAGCATCATTGTTTTTCAGTTCACCAAGGCTTGCAATTTTCCTGATTCAGTCCTCTCTAGAGTTGGGAAGCAGATAGGGCAGAGGCTGTTTTGTTTTCCTGCTCTCAGAAAGGTTTGCTGTTCAGTGTGTGTGCACTTCAAGATCGAAGTAATTTTCTTTCATTCTTTTTTTTTTATCCTGTAGATCGCCAGTACCTACTGCAACATCTTTTCTCCCTACACAGCGACTCCAGCTTGGGAGGGCAGGGCTAGGGTTGTCACAGCTTTCCCTGTGGTGTCTGCCTGCCAAGTACAGCTCTGGAGTTAGCCGTGGGGTGTGAGGTGAGAAAGAGATTGCATGGTCTGGTTCTTTTTTTTCATTCACTGGGGCAGATGATTTGCCCACAGTTTGGGCATGCACACCCCCTGCCGGTACAGCTGAAAGCAGACCTGCTTGCTGCTGATGCTGCGACAACCTTAACTCCCAACACAGTCACTGACATTGGGTTGGGGACCACCATTAAAATTTCCCCCAGTTCTGTTTTTAACATCTTCACTCTTACGTAACATGGTTTTCTCTTTTTCCTACATCGTCTGCCCCTTTAAGTCTCCCTACCCCCTACCTAAGCAGGTACCTCATAGGAAATTTAGATTAGTTATTTAGAGAGAGAAAATTGACATCTTGAAATTACTTTCTGCTATAATTAGATGCAAGCACGCTTTCTGCTTCTGCTGGGGTTTTCATTGGCCTTGATCTAAGGGATCACTCAGAGGTTCCATTTACTGTGGAGGTTTGGAGAGCAAATGTGATTGGCTCAGCTTGATTACATGGGCCCTTGATTACATATCTATATCTAAATATGCCTTTCTGGGTGTTTTACTAGGCAGCCCCAAGTGAATCGTGCTTGTCTGTCCCTCTGCCTTCCAGGTTCTCTCCAGAGGCTGCCTCCCGGCGAGGACTGAGCACGGCAGAGATGAATGCAGTAGAGGCCATCCACAGAGCTGTAGAGTTCAATCCTCACGTGCCAAAAGTGAGTCTGAGAAATCCCCTTTGGAGCTTGTTATGAGATCAGAGGAAATGTTCACTGACCACAGTTTCATGCCCATCATAAACTCAGTATATACAAAAGATAACTACAGCCAACACTGGATCTTATGTGGTCATTAACTTATTCTTGCTTTAGAACAGAAACTTAATCCTGAGTCTTGTGTGATTTCATGCTCGACATTCAACAGACTTCTGGAGCCAGTTTATGGATTTTGTAGTAAGGGGGTAACACTGCACAGCCTGACCTTTGACTTGAAATGCTGCCTAAATGGGATGATCATCATGGTTCTAGTTTAGGATACTTAACAGTAGAGAATCACACCATAACCTCGGGAAATAACTCCTGACACGAACAAAGGTTCAGAAGGATATGTGCTTTCCATATTTTCTGTCTCAATAAACATATGACATCGGGTCAGTTTGTGTCAAGAACATTATAGGAAAAAGTAACTCAAAGAAAAGACTTGTAAGAAAGTGTTTTAGTGGAAACACTAAGAAATGTTTAAAGTGTAAATAGCGGAAAGAATGTCAGGTCTGGAGCCAGAGGGTCTGGATTCAAATCTTGCCTCTGAGGCTTACTACTCACCTAACCCTGGGCCAGTCATCTAATCTTTCTGGGCCTCTCTTTTCTCAAATGAAGTGGTTGGACTGGAAAGCTGCGGATGAGGAATATCAGCCTCCAATTTGAGTTGCATGACTGAGTTATTTGTCTTGTTACAAAATCTCAATGTTATGACATATAGAGATAGGGTAATTCATGAACACTGGGTAGTGGGTTTTTTGTGTTTTTTTCCTGTAGTTTCCTACAATTTCCTATTCAGTAAATTCATTGATTCAGCAATCATCTATTAAGCATTTCTTCTGGTAGGGCACTTTGCTAGGAGCAGATACAAAATTTAAATGCGTGTGCATTCTCTAGTAGTAGTTCTTATTAGGGAGCAAAAGACATAACTTTGTTAGCCAAGTATAACTTGGTTTCCACACTAGCAAAGTGACAGGTATGAACAGCCCTCTTGAACATCTCTTTCAGCTGTGGTATCTAATGTCTGTGAATGTGGATTTTATTAGTGAGTAACTAATAAGGTAAACTTGTATTCTCATATGGCTATAATAATTCAGGGAAGGAATTTTTCTATAATGATTTATAGAATAGTGGGTGCTTCATAAATGTTTATTGAATCAAGTTGAGTTGATATTTTAGTGCGGAGGTATTAAATTTGCAGGAGGAAAAGATGCTAAAGGAGCATCTAATTATCCTCAGTGAATTCGAGGCACCAGACCTGAATGAACCATATCCAGCAGTACTGAAAGAATTTGTAGGGGTAACTGCTGAACTTTGAATGATGTTTTAGTGAGCTTTGAAAGACTAAGGAGGACAAGAAAAATGACATAGGACTGGAGGAAAGCAAATGTTGTTTCTACTTTGTAAAGGGGGAGGAGGATGAACCTGAAGGCTGTATGCGAATGAGCTTGACTTCTGTCATGAGCATCTAGGAAGGCAAACCTTGTTCACTAAAATACAGCTTGACCTCATTAAGATTAGGTTGTGGCAGATTAGCCTCATTAGAGTGGAGAATCAGGAGAAAGCACAAATATAGTTTACCTAGAGTTCTGGAAAGCATTTGACAGAGTCTGTTGTATAGTTTTTATGGACTAAATGGACATATGTGAATTGAGGACTATTTGAAAGGCTGGATCCAAGGAGTAATCATAATAGGTTGATGTCAACTTGGGGGGTGGCTTCTAATGGAGTGCCCCTGGAAATTTATCCTCAGCCCTTGCTGTTTTAACGTTTTTATTAATGACCTGGGTAAAGGCATAGAAAATATATCAGATTTATAGACAAAGGCTAGCAAACCAGCTAATACATTGAATGACAGAACCATATTCTAAAAAGACCCCTTGACAGATTAGAACAAGCTAAATCTAATATGAAGGAGTTTAGAGCCATAAATACACATTTTTATATTTAGTTTTTAAATTTCAACTTTACAGATACAAAATGGAGGAAGCATGATAGTAGTTTGTCTAAAAGAAATGTAGAAGGGCAATAAGAGTCAGCAGTGTAACATGGCTGTCACAAAAAGCTAACGCGATTCTAGGAAGAATTAAGAAAGCCATGTATTAAAAGGAAGGTGATTCTTGGTGCCCTAGCCAAGTTATTGAGTTCATTTCTGGATGCCATATTTTAAGTAAGACATTTATAAGCTAGAGCAATTTCAGAAGAGGACAGCAGGATAACAATGAGACTGGAGATCATATCAGACGAGAATCAGTTGAAGAAAGTGGGGCTTTTTAACCTGGAAAAGAAGAGAATTGAGGGTGATATTAGAGCTGAATTCCAGTATTCAAAGTACTGTCATATGAAAGAAGGGCTAAAGGTATTCTAGTTGGTACCACCAGGCACAGGGAGGAGAAGCAGGCAGTAACCAACATGATGCAGATCAGACCAATGTGCTGCTGTAGTGTAGCTAGCACCTAGACTGAGACAGACCAAAGTCAGGTGCTCTGAGGTCCTTAATACTCTGTCTTAAAATGCCAGAAGATGCAGAGCTTTGAACTTTAGAGATGCATGGAGGCCAAACCCTCAAGCAAGGCTGATCATCCCACCCAAAATACAGTGGAGGCAGAGACTGGCCCTGGCACAAAGCCCCGATTTGGGAACTAAAGCTGAAGAGATGAGTAAATTTTAAAAAAAACAACCCACTATTTAGTATAAAAATTTATTGCAAATCTAATCCTATGATGACTACAGAGACTCAAGGGGAAAAGTAGATTTTCCACTAGGACTACATGAATTTCAGAGAAAATGAAGCAAGATACACACACACACACACACACACACACACACATACATACATACATACATACATACATACATATACATATATATATAAACACACACATACACACACACATATATATATATACATATATATATATAGCACTTAAGGAAAAAATTAGAACAGAATAAGTAGCTTAGAAAAGAAAGTAGTAAACTTTACTTAAGAAATGGAATCTCTGAACCCTAGAATAGACCAAACAGAAATTAGTGACAGTGAGAAATACTAGAGCAAAATTTTAAAATAAAAAATGAGCTCTAATATTTTAAAAAGAGATTTAGAAAACAGGTGGAGAGATAATTTAAGAATCATTGGACTCCATGAAAACCATTATTTTTAAATAGATTGAACACTTTGTTTCAAGAAATTATAAATGAAACCTGCCCAGATGTATTAGAATAAAAGAGCAAATTTAGAAAGAACTCATCAGTTGTTTACTAAAAGGAACTGCAGGGGAAATATCCCAGGAATGTCATGGCATCCACAGACTCTACATCAAAGAATAAATAATGTAGGCATCAGCAGAAGTACCCTAGTCAGGATAACACAAAACTTAACAGAGTTTACTAAAAACCAGAGATCTTAGAATAGACTATTCCAAAAGGCAAATAATAAGGCTTATAGCCAAGAATAATGTACCCTGCCAGGCTGAGCATAAACCTAAATGGAAAGAAATAGATGTTTTAATGGAAGAGAGGTCTTTCTAGCATTCTTGATAAAAATTCCAGAGCTGAGTATGAACTTTGAAATACAAATGTGAGAGTTTATAAGAACCTTCTGGGAATGTAAATTAATATGAACAGCTAGGAGCTACATCATGATATGATGCTAAAATTCTAATGGAGAAGAAACAAATGTCCCTTCAGAACTTTAATGTCTTCAGAGGGTATTAATGGAGTTAAATAAGAAAAACAGAGGGCCTGAGGGTGGATTAGTTTTGTTCTAGCGGTTTTAATAGAGGAAAGAGAAAGGAGAATAAGAGGAATGTAACACAGAAGAAGGAAGAAGAGGTTGGAACTTGCTCTTTCTCATGATTGGGATATGTGAGATTATGTAAACATAAAGGAACGGATGAGTGGAATAGGTATCATTTTTATCTGAAACAGAAATTTAAAAGAGGTTGAACATACACACAAACCATTTGGTGTAGAAATTCATAAACCTCAGAAAGGAAAAAAGCATATAAGAAAAGTAACAATAGAATAGTAGTTAGTGACTGGGATTCCCTGTACTGAGCCCCCTGGTAAACTTTAAATCTATTTTATAAAACATAGGGTTACTTCAGATATGCAGGATGAATCATTTTTACCTTTTTTAAAAACTCCTTCCCAATTGCAGGGATATGCTTGCTTATGAAAAACACAATACATATATAGACATATATATTACATATATGCAATTTTTTTATTCTACCACCATATAGGTAATACCGTGTCATTAAGATATAGGCTAATTATTCTCAAAAATAATATTGACTTATCCTTTTAGAGCATACATTACAAGTAGTAGCCATTTGATTTTAGTGACTTTTTATGGAAATGAAAAAAAAAAAGCACTCGTAGCCTTTCCAAGTTTTAGTATGGTTTCTGACAGCCTTAACTATCAAAAGAATAGCCTAAAACTGGGGGTTGGGAGTAGCCTTTCCTGTTCCCCTTCATTCTCTACAGAAAGACTTTTGAATCCCTGAAATTACCATCAGGAAGCCTTAGAAGAGACATACTTTGTTGGGGGAAGGTGATATGGTTTAGGCCATAGTTCTGAGTTTATTACCTCTTAATTTATACAGAGTTTTGACTCCTTGATGATCTGATTTCTCAGACCATGGCAAAAGGGAAAGAGCTGTAAGAAGCAGTTGATGAAACCAGCACTGAGAAAGGGAAAAGAAAATTACATTAAATTTAGTATAGTAAGTGAGGGTGATCTTGAGCCATCAATAAAAGGTTCAGGATACTCTTATTTATGAAAATAAGGAAGATGTAATAAATTTTTAAAAAGTTTTTAAAATTTCCGTCCAAAATAGTTCAAGTTTAACCCAAAAGAAAAAAAAACTCTGCTTAAAGGAATTAAGCATCGTATGGCTCATTATTGCTCATATATTATCTAAGTTTTACACTTGCCATTGTGTGACTTAAGCTGTGGG